ATAGACAGACACAAGCAGAGAGAGACAACACAGAGACAATCAGAGAGAGACTCACATATAGACACATAGAGAGACACACAAGCAGAGAGAGACAACACAGAGACAGAGAGAGACACACACAGAGACACATAGACAGACACAAGCAGAGAGAGACAACACAGAGACAATCAGAGAGAGACTCACATATAGACACATAGAGAGACACACAAGCAGAGAGAGACAACACAGAGACAGAGAGAGACACACACAGAGACACATAGACAGACACAAGCAGAGAGAGACAACACAGAGACAATCAGAGAGAGACTCACATATAGACACATAGAGAGACACACAAGCAGAGAGAGACAACACAGAGACAGAGAGAGACACACACAGAGACACATAGACAGACACAAGCAGAGAGAGACAACACAGAGACAATCAGAGAGAGACTCACATATAGACACATAGAGAGACACACAAGCAACGAGAAACAACACAGGGACACACAGAGACAGACACACACAGAGACACACAATCAGAGAGAGACAACACAGATACAGAGAGAGACACACACAGAGACACATAGACAGACACAAGCAGAGAGAGACAACACAGAGACAATCAGAGAGAGACTCACATATATACACATAGAGAGACACACAAGCAGAGAGAGACAACACAGAGACAGAGAGAGACACACACAGAGACACATAGACAGACACAAGCAGAGAGAGACAACACAGAGACAATCAGAGAGAGACTCACATATAGACACATAGAGAGACACACAAGCAGAGAGAGACAACACAGAGACAGAGAGAGACACACACAGAGACACATAGACAGACACAAGCAGAGAGAGACAACACAGAGACAATCAGAGAGAGACTCACATATAGACACATAGAGAGACACACAAGCAGAGAGAGACAACACAGAGACAGAGAGAGACACACACAGAGACACATAGACAGACACAAGCAGAGAGAGACAACACAGAGATAATCAGAGAGAGACTCACATATAGACACATAGAGAGACACACAAGCAGAGAGAGACAACACAGAGACAGAGAGAGACACACACAGAGACACATAGACAGACACAAGCAGAGAGAGACAACACAGAGACAATCAGAGAGAGACTCACATATAGACACATAGAGAGACACACAAGCAGAGAGAGACAACACAGAGACAGAGAGAGACACACACAGAGACACATGGACAGACACAAGCAGAGAGAGACAACACAGAGACAATCAGAGAGAGACTCACATATAGACACATAGAGAGACACACAAGCAACGAGAAACAACACAGGGACACACAGAGACAGACACACACAGAGACACACAATCAGAGAGAGACAACACAGAGACAGAGAGAGACACACACAGAGACACATAGACAGACACAAGCAGAGAGAGACAACACAGAGACAATCAGAGAGAGACTCACATATAGACACATAGAGAGACACACAAGCAGAGAGAGACAACACAGAGACAGAGAGAGACACACACAGAGACACATAGACAGACACAAGCAGAGAGAGACAACACAGAGACAATCAGAGAGAGACTCACATATAGACACATAGAGAGACACACAAGCAACGAGAAACAACACAGGGACACACAGAGACAGACACACACAGAGACACACAATCAGAGAGAGACAACACAGAGACACAGAGAGAGAGAGAGACACACACAACATAGACACACAGACAGACACAAGCAGAGAGAGACGACACAGAGACACACACACACAGAGACACACAGAGACACACACACACACACAGAGGCACACAACATAGACACACAGAGACGTGACTTTAGAAAAGGAACATGAATATGAATTCCTGCAGTCACGAAAGCTTTAAGTGAAAATTCATGAATGTGTCGTTAAACCCGCCACCACCCGACACAGCAAATTAGCAAGGTTGCATCTCGTAAGCACGACCGGTGTGTTGGAGAGTGACCGTGCTACTGGGAGGTGCGACAACAAACGAAACACACAGAAAGCAGTCCTAAAGAAATCCGTTTGTCAACCTACTGCAAATGATTTAAAAGTGGAATGGCTCCCCAGTGACTTCCTAGTATCGTCTTCTTGGTTCTTTCGGTAAAGTCACGTAGAAGGAAAATAATAAAATAATAAAATAAAACATAATAAAATAATTCTCACGACGTTTCGGCCACAACGCAAGCAGCCGTCTTCAGGTGGAGAACAGGTATGTCGAGAAGGCAGAGTCTGAATGGCACGCCCCAGACTTGGAGCGACTATTTAAGCTGGGATGGAGGGGCTAAAAGCGTCTTGACAAAATAATTTGCATATCAAGAGGAATTTAGCATATTTATGGGAAATGCAGATATGCGATTAGTACTACTTGTGAAATGCGTAGGAGGTTTATTATGTTTTATTTTTATTATTTTATTATTTTCCTTCTATGTGACTTTACCGAAAGAACCAAGAAGATGAATCCCTGCAGTCACGAAAGCTTTAAATTGAAATTCTTAGTATCGGTAAGGAAGAACGATAACAGACGGCAGGCAGAAACGCATCTACAGTGACCACCACCCCACCTCCACTCCGTCTTTGTTCTAAGGCCTGCCAACATATTTACGCACGAGGGGGGAAAAAGGCACTCGCAGTTACGCAACAGAGAAAGGGAGGTGATGAGGCCGTAGCCGCATCACCTCACAGCCCAAGGCTACAACACCCGTTGCCTCATATTCTTAGTTTTTTTTCGGTAAAGTCACGTAGGTAAAAAAAATTAAATTAATAAAATAAAATAAAATAAAAAATCACGACGTTTCGGAGGCAACACAAGCTTCCGTAAAATAAAAATAAAATAAAAATCACGACGTTTCGGAGGCAACACAAGCTTCCGTAAAATAAAAATCAAATAAAAATCACGACGTTTCGGAGGCAACACAAGCTTCCGTCTTCAGGTGGAACCGTCACAGCACGACAGCTGTATCAAGTTTACAGCTATCAAGTTGATAGCTGACCGGGATTGCCGTGGTGTTACGGGCAAGGGCGGCTCGCGATAGCTGTGGGTTACGACGTGCAACGGTTGGCTACGTACGGTGCGAAAGAAGTTCAACGTGCGGATGATTTTGATCATGAACCGATCTCTGGCTGACCGTGCCAATCGGGCTGATGAATCAAATTGTTAATTGATGCCAAAAAAAGAAGAAACACCTTGGGGTTGGGTACATTTCAAGGCAGCGTCATCCGCGTTGTTGTGCCTTACCATCTGACCACAACTATTATTATATCGACTATAAATAATTTCGCAATCTGTTTCATGCATTTGATTCATTCTCCTGCTACGTGCAGAACGCACGCAGATGCTTCGCGCTCGGACATCGAGCAGAAAGTGCCGTCTGGCACATCTGGTCGATGTCCCACTCCATCTCCTCCACCTCCTCCACCTCCGGCATCCCCTCTCCCTCCACACATCCTGCCTCATACTCCTCCTCCTCCTCCCACTCCCTTCCCCCCTCCGTCCTGCCAGCTCCATCTTAACCTCATCAACGTCGTCTTCCTAACATGATCCCAACTTAGCTGGGCTCTCTTTGCATTAATTCGTATCTCTCTACCGGCCAACACGTCCTCCTGCTGCTCTGTGCCATCATCCCGAAGTCCCTTCCACGACGGTGGGTAGGAGATGTTTACTCCTTCGCCTGGTATACAGGAAATCGTGGGTTCGATTTCGAGCCTGACGGCTGTTGTATATGTGGAGTTTGCGTGTCTCTCTCTCTCTCTCTTCCCCCGTGGTCGCGTTGATTTTCTACGGCTCGTCCGGTATTTCCATCCACATTTAGACTCAACGTTCATTTAGAGTATTTGACTGCTATACATTTGCACGTGATAAGCCACTTCGCCGAACTACCGTTTGTGATGGTCATGTCGCTTCTGGAAAAAAGAGCTACATAACTCAGTGGGTGGGAGGGGTGGGGCTCGGTGGGGAGGGGCTGGTCACCCCGTGGTGCCCTTATAAAACTCAACGTTTAACCTACTCACGCCGGCTTGTGCCCGCCCTCACAGTCGGGCATATTTACGGAATACACCACGCCGCCGTTGACCCTGGCCATTGACCGAGCAACCCGACGTTCCTACCAGCTCCCTACCGCAGGAATGTGTTCCCCAAAATCTGCTTATTCGCGAGCACCTCCGGCAGGTACCCCGAGCCGCGAATAACGAGGGGAACATCGCAACAAATTGCACGAAACCCTGAGCCAAAGATGACCTAACGTGTCACAGCCCCGATCATAATCCTTCATTACATTTTATATATTTAAAAAAATTTATCCATCCCTCTAAACAATTTCGTTAGCCCACACCCGTCGCTATTTGTCAACAGTTTGGCAACAGCGGTATCGCTGACGCCCTTTGCACGCCTCCACGCAATGCCAGCCGCCGGCATCCTTGCACACCCAACACACCCACACAAAAGACAAAGATCCCCCGTGTAGCCTTAACAGATTGTAGGGGCAAGTGCTGTTAGCGAGCACCTATGAAGGCCGGAACGGTACACGAGAGGGTGGGGTGGCCGGCACCACGCCCGACCGCCTTTGTCTCCCCAGTGGCGATGTTTACTATACACCGCGCTAGCTACTCGTTTCAAGAAAAAATCGACCTAGGGGAGGCCCCCAGGACCGGTTCAGATAATCGTCACTGGTGTTGGCCGTGAGCGGGAATCGAACCCGGGTCGCCAGGTTCATAGCGCAGCGCGCTAATCGCTGCACCACCGCTCCCCACACACCGACACACCCAACCCCCCAAAAAAATCGTCGTCCACAAAGTCACTCTCACCGACTCGGATTGCGCAAGCAAGCCGCTAGGCACGAGTATAAAACCGCGGCGTGGCAAGAGATAGGAGCAGAACATTTCGTTGAGGACAGAAGCGAACGCACGTCTCTTAGACTCGTCGCCGTTGTTGTCGCGGTCTGAGAATCGTCACGAATTGGACAGCGAGCTGAGCGAGAGTGAGAATCCGTCGACATGTCAAGCGCCTACGGTCGCGTTGGTTTCCCTTCCTCCACCTCCACGTGGATGGACGGTGGCCGCTGGTCCGCAAGTCGCATCGCGGCTCGAACGGCGTTCGCGTCCGAGGGCACCGACGGCTCGGTACGGACACCTCCAGCGCGCACACAGCGGGCGTGGACGCGGGGACACGTGGGGGACACGTGGGGACACGTGGGGACACGGGGGGACACTCACGGAGACACGTGGGGACATGGGGGGACACGCGGGCACACGGGGACACGCAGAGACGCACACACGTGGACGCACAGAGGCGCGGCCAAGTAGACAAGTGGACACGAGGACACGTGGGGCATGTGGGGACGACACGCGGGCAAAAGGGGGCACACGTGGGGACATGGGGGGACACGCGGGCACACGGGGACACGCAGAGACGCGGCCAAGTAGACAAGTGGACATGATGACACGTGGGCACAGGAACACGCGGGCACGCAAAGGGACAGCGACGATGAGGCGGGGAACACTGCATGGGACACACAGTGGCGCGGACATGGAGACGCGCAGAGATTCGCACACACCGTGGGGACATGGACACGAGAACGACTGGGATAACGTGGACGCATCTGATTTGATCTTAAAGTAATTCACGTAGCGCCTTGTGCACGGCGCTTTACGCAGAAGTAGCAGCGGTGCGCGTGAATGTTATGGTGGCGATGGTGTGAGTGAAATCGATGGGGGGAAGCGATGGGGGGCAAATCCGTGATGCGTGAGTTCGGTGAAAGGGAAACTGATTACGGTAAATGATGACGAATGATTGATTAATTATTGAATGATTGATTAAATATTGATGATGAATTATTGAATGAATGATAAATTATTGAATGAATGATGATGAATGATTGATAATTGAATGATTGATGAATGATTCAATGATGAATTCAATGATGATGAATGATTTAATGAATAATAGATCATTGATTGAATCATGATGAATGATTGAATGATTGATGAATGATTCAATGTTGATTTAAATCATGATGAATTATTGAATTAATGATAAATGATTGACTGAATAATGATGATGAATAAGTGAATGCTAGACGATTGAATTATTCATGAATTATTGAATGATGATTTAAATGATTATGAATAATTGAATGAATGGGGGTTATTGAGTGATAGCCATATAATGATCACGTGAAGAGGTGAACGGTAACAGTGGTGGTAATGGTTATTAAATTAACGGGGGGGGGGGGGGGGGGTCGTGGTGTGATCGAGGGGTAACAAGAAGTTAGTTTTGAGTGCGGAGCGGAAACTTATTGAGCCAAGGTGCCCGGTTAATGTGCAGGGCGAAGTTTGTTCCTGTGATGGGGGGCCGACGAAGCGAGAGAGGGAGGGAGAGAGCGACGGAGTGGATTGAGCACAAGGAGGACAAGGAGCATAGAGAGAGAGAGACGGCAAATATTGAGAACGTCGAGGGCGAAACTTTTAACTTTTAAACAACTTTTATTGCCGCCAGCAGCGATTTCGATGTGAAACACACAAAGTCACCAGCTAACAAATGAAAACAAACGCTACAAATCCACGCGCCGTGGCGCTAAAAGCACCGCGCACAACACGAAAGAAAAGTCACGTGGTGGTGGTGATTGTGGTGGTCATCGCGCACGCCACGGTGACGAGCGAGCGCTTCAGAATGTGAACACGAGGGTGCCGTCCACGCTGCTACAGAGAGGGGCTTGTCTGGCTCCCCAGTGTTCGAAAAAGACGCGCACATCACTGCCACGTGTGTGTGGTAAGGGCGATAAGGCGACGCCCCGAGAGACATGTGGATGTCACGCGAGGGAGTTGAACCTGAACCTGAGCAGGTGCAGTGGGGAGGTCGGAGGCGATTTCGAGGTGGCAGTGCCGTACGATAGAGGGCAGCGGAGGAGAGGGAGCCGTCCATGGCACTTCGCTATGAAGAAGGGCTATCGCACCAAACGTCGCCGATTTCACTGGTCAACACACTTTTTTCTGGCATAAGCTATTCCAACGGTTTTAAGGTAATTTCAGGGTGCTGATTCCAAATCTGGCATCAGTTTTTGTTCATCACATCAGGTTTTTGAGATATCAACTATTGCATTTTCAATAAAAAAACTGCGGAAGAAAAATATTAAATAAATGTGGATATCTACATAAAATGATATTATAAACACAGTATCCTAAAAATACAGCTCCATATTTTAACATTAAAGCAGTCACTGACTCGCAACAACTTGCAATCATAAGTGACAGAGTTAATTTCGGGTAAAATCAATGAAAATGGGGTATGCCGATAGCATAAAAATGAGATGTGATAGAGCAAATCTGAGATCAGATTTGGAATCAGCACCCTGAAATTAGTCTAGAACAGCTGCAAAAGTCCAGGCCATAATTTTTTTTTGTTGACCAGTGGATTATAGACACACATTTCTATAGCGTCGTTCTTTTTTAAGATCGCGGTGTTATTAACGAAATTTGTTAATATAACTGATGAAAATTTTTTTAAAAAATATTTTACCAGGTAAGTCCCACTGAGCTTTTTATCATAAGTCACAAAGGGTAGCTGAACAAAGTGGCTCATCACGTGGACATTTATAGCAGACAAACACTCTGAACGCGTGATAATGCTGATTCTAAATGTGGAGAGAAAAACCGGAGGACCCGGAGACAAATCCACGCGACCACAGGGAGAGAGAGACACGCAAACTCCAAATATAGAGCAGGCGTCAGGGTCGGGATCGAAACCACGACCTCCTGTACACCAGGCGAGGTAGCTAACATCTCCTAGCCACCGTGATGATGATGAGAGAGAGACACGCAGACTCCAAATATAGAGCAGGCGTCAGGGTCGGGATCGAACCCACGACTTCCTGTACACCAGGCAAGGTAGTTAACATCTCCTCGCCACCGTGATGATGATGAGAGAGAGACACGCAGACTCCAAATATAGAGCAGGCGTCAGGGTCGGGATCGAACCCACGACCTCCTGTACACCAGGCAAGGTAGTTAACATCTCCTCGCCACCGTGATGATGATGAGAGAGAGACACGCAGACTCCAAATATAGAGCAGGCGTCAGGGTCGGGATCGAACCCACGACCTCCTGTACACCAGGCGAGATAGTTAACATCTCTCAGGGGCTGTCCATAAATGACGTCACGCGATTTTGGACAATTTTTTGACCCCCTCCCCCCTCGTCACACGGCGTCACAAAAAGTCAGACCCCCCCTCCTCTCAAATATGACGTCACAAACCTCAAAACAATTTTTCCATTTTAAAAATAAAACATGCTTCAAATCGCTTTAAACTATTGTCATTGTAGTGCGTATTTAATGTGGCGCTGCACTCTGATGTTGTAGGAGAAAACATTTATTCAGAAGTCTATTCAATTAAGTAGAACGTGTTGTCTATATTTATTTAAAGTTGCGCATTTTGATGTGACGTCAAATTTCTCAAACCCCCCCCCCCCTCCCACCTCGTCACAAATGTCTGACCCCCCACCCCCCAGGTGCGTGACGTCATTTATGGACGGACCCTCATGTCTCCGTTTACGTTGTCTCGCCAGATGGAGGCGGCAAGAGGCGCTTCGAGGGACACGTGGCCTCTGAAACCGTCCTGGCCCTGTGAGTTGCCCACCCCATCCGCCTGCAAAGTACAAACCGATGCTCCTCCTGCACCGGTGGCTCAGACAAACTGCGGTGACGATTTAGGGTCTTGCGCCACGAAACCCCTGAGGCCCGAGGTCGACTTCTCCCGAAGCCATCGAGCCACGCGGGTTCACCCCGTATCCGTGCGCAGGGGAATTGAGATTTCAGGTTCAGTTTAACACGTGTGAGACTTCGATTTAAAGCTTTCGTGACTGCAGGGATTCATCTTCTTGGTTCTTTCGGTAAAGTCACGTAGAATGGAAATAATAAAATAATAAAAATAAAACATAATAAAATTTCGATTTAAAGCTTTCGTGACTGCAGGGATTCATCTTCTTGGTTCTTTCGGTAAAGTCACGTAGAATGGAAATAATAAAATAATAAAAATAAAACATAATAAAATTTCGATTTAAAGCTTTCGTGACTGCAGGGATTCATCTTCTTGGTTCTTTCGGTAAAGTCACGTAGAAGGGAAATAATAAAATAATAAAAATAAAACATAATAAAATTTCGATTTAAAGCTTTCGTGACTGCAGGGATTCATCTTCTTGGTTCTTTCGGTAAAGTCACGTAGAAGGGAAGTAATAAAATAATAAAAATGAAACATTATAAAATTATAAAACATAATAAAATTTCGATTTAAAGCTTTCGTGACTGCAGGGATTCCTCTTCTTGGTTCTTTCGGTAAAGTCACGTAGAATGGAAATAATAAAATAATAAAAATAAAACATAATAAAATTTCGATTTAAAGCTTTCGTGACTGCAGGGATTCATCTTCTTGGTTCTTTCGGTAAAGTCACGTAGAAGGGAAGTAATAAAATAATAAAAATAAAACATAATAAAATTTCGATTTAAAGCTTTCGTGACTGCAGGGATTCATCTTCTTGGTTCTTTCGGTAAAGTCACGTAGAATGGAAATAATAAAATAATAAAAATGAAACATAATAAAATTTCGATTTAAAGCTTTCGTGACTGCAGGGATTCATCTTCTTGGTTCTTTCGGTAAAGTCACGTAGAAGGGAAGTAATAAAATAATACAACTAAAACATGATAAAATAATTCTCACGACGTTTTGGCCACAACGCAAGCAGCCGTCCTCAGGTGAAGAACAAGTCTGTCGGGAAGACAGAGTCTGAATGACGCGTCTGAATGACGCTGTCTTCCCGACAGACCTGTTCTTCACCTGAGAACGGCTGCTTGCGTTGTGGCCGAAATGTCGTGAGAATTATTTTATTATGTTTTATTTTTGTTATTTTATTATTTCCCTTCTACGCGACTTTACCGAAAGAACCAAAAAGATAGTCGCGTGGATTTTTCTCGGGGTCCTTTGGGTTTCCCTCCACATTTAGAATCAACATCGCAACGTTTAGAGTGTGTGGCTACTATACATTTAGCAGGCGATGAGAAGCCACTTCGTTGAGCTATTATTTGTGAAAGTCAGGTCGCTTCTGAAAAAGAGCTGGTACAACAACAACAAAACAACACAATTTGGTTTTTCGTTCAGATAGTCACAATTGTTGTTTTCACAAATCCGTCGATTTGAATTGATTTCTTTTTATCGACTCATTTTTTGTTAACCGTCACCTTTCCATGGTGGGCCCCCGCTGGCATCCTGCAGGCGAGGGATCGGCCCAACGATCCTCAGAAATATAATCATCATCATCATCGTCATCACCACCACCGTGTTACTTATGTAATAAGCCAAGACATCGGGTCGGAAATGTCAACCCAGTAACTGGATTCGGGCCAGACATGTCATGTTGGGTGCGGTTTGGTGGGGCCCGTGGTTTTTATTTTTATATTACGGTTGTTGAGACACGCACAGCGCGCATGTATGTGTGCCCGTGCGTGCGTTGAATTTATTTCGCACCGTACGTAGCCAACCGTGCTGATCGGAGGTGCGAGACAAGGACAACAACACTAAACACAAAAACCGCAGTTCTAAAGAAATGAGCTTTCAATCGAAAATTAAAAAAAATGAAGGAAGGGCGTTCCAGACGGCCGCAGAAGCGCATCCTGGAAGTGCGCTACGCCCGATAGAACCACACTGGTCCCATAGGGTTCCACAGGTCCCATAGGGTTCTACAGGTCCCATAGGGTTCTACAGGTCCCATAGAGTTCCACAGGTCCCATAGGGTTCTACAGGTCCCATAGGGTTCCAAAGGTCTCATAGGGTTCTACAGGTCCCATAGGGTTCCACAGGTCCTATAGGGTTCTACAGGTCCCATATGGTTCCAATGGTCCCATAGGGTTCCACAGGTCCCATAGGGTTACACAGCTCTCATAGGGTTCTACAGGTCCCATAGGGTTCTACAGGTCCCATAGGGTACCAAAGGTCCCATAGGGTTCTACAGGTCCCAATAGGGTTCCACAGGTCCCATAGGGTTCCAAAGGTCCCATAGGGTTCCACAGGTCCCATATGGTTCTACAGGTCCCATAGGGTTCCACAGGTCCCATAGGGTTCCACAGGTCCCATAGGGTTCCAAAGGTCCCATAGGGTTCCACAGGTCCCATATGGTTCTACAGGTCCCATAGGGTTCCACAGGTTCCATAGGGTTCCACAGGTACCATAAGGCCCCACAAGCCCAACAGGGCCCCCCAAACGACCCCACAGGACCCCATATAGATCACACAGGCTCAGAGGTCGCAACCGGGTACCCGATACCCGTACTCTACCCGATACCCGGCTACCCGTACCCGGCCGGGCCGGGTACGGGTAGCCGTTTGCGACCCTGGTGCGGCCGGGTACGGGTAGGCCGTGAGTCACTGGCGAGTAGCCGTTTGTCACTCATTTCGGGTAGGGTACGGGTACGGGTAGGGAACGGCTACCGGGTACGGGTACGGGTACCCATTTGCGACTTTGGTGCGGCCGGGTACGGGTACGGGTAAGGAATCAAACCCCGTTTGCGACTTCTGCACAGGCTCCACTAAATTGGCTAACTGTGGACCAGGAGCAAGAAAATGGCAACTGTCAAAGTCCTAGGGTGTATTATTATTATTATTTTAGATGTTCAATTCGGTCAAGAAGAGTCTTGACACAGGAACACGTGGAACTATTGGACCATCGCCCGGGCGAAAGAGAGAGAGAGTGAGGGTTACGATTAGCCTGCCGCCCAACCAAGGCGGATTACTTATACATCTGTGTCTGTGCGCGCTTGCAATGCACGAAGGGTTGTAAATGATTGGTAATGCGATATGGATGACGGCTCCCAGCATACCGCCTGGGATGCGGGGCGGGGTTGTTTTATAATAATAATGAAAAAAATTCGGTTAATTACTTTTATATATTGGCCTCTCTCAATCGCTGGAAGGCTGCCCAGGTGCTGTAGAGCCGACACTACAAACGATTGATGTACACCGGTCTGCACATTAGGATGGCAATGAGTGATGGGTGTTTGTTACACTCGACGTGGGAGGAAACTCGAGCCCCCTCGCGCATGCGAGGGTGCAATACTCTATCCCCGTCCACAAGAGGTAGATGGATCAAGGCCGTAGCCATGGAGTCAACATTGGGGGGGGGGGGGGGGCAAATCTTTCAGGGTGTCTGGGGGTCCCAACCTCGAAAAAAAGTCTAAATTTTAAAACGAATTTTCTGCCTAAAATATTTTAAAATTCACTAACACATGGGATGGACTTTTCATTTATTTTTTACAATAATGTCTAATAGTCTTGGTTCTTTCGGTAAAGTCACGTAGAAGGGAAATAATACAATAATAAAAATAAAACATAATAAAATAATAAAAAATAAAACATAATAAAATACAATTCTGCTTGCGTAGTGGCCGAAACGTCATGAGAATTGTATTTTATTATGTTTTATTTTTATTATTTTATTATTTCCCTTCTACGTGACTTTGCCGAAAGAACCAAGAAGATGAATCCCTGCAGTCACGAAAGCTTTAAATCGAAATGTATATCTAATAGTGTATTGTATTTGCATTGCTCTGTTTTACTTTTTTTACCATTTCTTGTTTCATTGTATGTAATGGCAGAGATTAGGGATTAATAAAGTACAACCATAACAACAATCATATAAACAGAAATCTATGCATTGATTTACATGAATACAAGTCCAGATATTGTGGCCAAGGTTTAGCAAATTGTAGTTTTCATTTACATAGCATCGCAACTTTTTTTTTTTTTAAATATATAGCAATATATTGGGAGGGCATGTGTACCCCCTCAATATATATAATAATTATATTATAATTATTGTAATTACGGCCTTGAGATGGGTGATCAGTCCATACGGCTCCTCCTCTATGCCCCACAGGAAAGGAGTTTCGCAACAGCCGTGCGTGTTTTGGTCGATCACTAAACAATGTCACTCAATTTTTGTCCCTGGGTACTGAATGTTCTTTCTTAATTGCTTATGCCTCAAAATAATATAAAACGGCTATTATTCCCCACGAACTTTGCTTTTGTGACCAGGATTTCACGTGAACGAAAGACACAAATGCATACAAGTCCAGATATCCAAGTCCAAATGCACACCACGTTTTCTCATTGACAATAAGTACATTTCGAAATATCACTGTGCTAAGATGTTCTAACACCAAATAGATGTCCTAGATTTGAAGCTTTCGTGACTGCAAGGATTCATACTCTTAGGTTTTTTCGGTAAAGTCACGTAGGTAAAAATAAAAGTAAATAATAAATATTATAAAAATTATAATAGAAATAAAATAGTATTATTTTATGAAATAAATAATGAAATATACATATTTCTTTATTATTTTATTTCTATTCTTGGTTCTTTCGGTAAAGTCACGTAGAAGGGAAATAATAAAATAATATAAATATAAAACAATAAAGTCACGTAGAAGGGAAATAATAAAATAAAAAAAAATTGCGCGTAATAAAATACAATTCCACACGACGTTTCGGCCCCGCGTAATTCCCACTCGGACATCGAGCAATGGTGACGTCACAGCCCGAGGGGGGGGGGGGGAGGAGGTCGGGGTGGACAGGAGCCCAGGCCAGCAGCCAGCCGGGGACACGCGAGGCATGGATTATTTCTAACGGCCGTGCGAAATCACCGTCAGGGCACTTGCCCGGGAGCGATTTGCCCGGCAGTGGTGACTCTCCTGGCGTAGAGAGGCGCCGCCACCTCACGGTGCGGTCGGTGGACCAGCGGATTGCGGCCAACCGGGCGCGGCACCGCACGAGCGACTACGAGGTGGACAACCTCGTGCTGCGCCGCGGGGAGGCCTTTGACCTGCAGCTCAAGCTGAACCGCCCCTACGACCCCAGAGAAGACAAGATTCGCCTGGAACTGCAGATCGGTGAGTGGGTATTGGCGCGGGGTGTGGTGGTTACCCCGGGGAGTGGTGGGGGACGGGTAATTAATTTCCACGTTTTGTTATTCACATGACAAACTTTGTGAATTGGCTGTGTCGAGTGGAGGAGGGTTAACGACACGTGGACATTTGCTTAAGCGTTCTTGCCGGCTCAACTGCCAAAGTCTGGCCTGAATTCCCAAAATTCCTGCTTAAATCCCAGAAATTCTGGCTTGAGCCCCCGAATTTCTGACTTCAACCACTGGAATGTTGGCCTTAAATCGAGAAATTATGGCTTTAACCCCTGAAATTATGGCCTTAAACCCAGAAATTATGGCTTTAACCCCTGAAATTATGGCCTTAAACCCAGAAATTATGGCTTTAACCTCCGAAATTATGGCCTTAATCTCAGAAATTATTACTTTAACCCCTGAAATTATGGCCTTAATCTCAGAAATTATGGCTTTAACCCCTGAAATTATGGCCTTAAACCCAGAAATTATGGCTTTAACCTCCGAAAATATGGCCTTAATCTCAGAAATTATGACTTTAACCCCTGAAATTATGGTCTTAAACCCAGAAATTATTGCTTTAACCCCTAAAATTATGGCCTTTATCTCAGAAATTATGGCTTTAACCCCTGAAATTATGGCCTTAAACCCAAAAATGATGGCTTTAACCCCTGAAATTCTGGCCTGAACCCACAAAATTCTGGCTCCGAGCCCCGAAATTCTGGCATCAACCTCTGGAACCGTGGCTTACACCCCCAAATTCTGACTTCTAACGGCGTCCTGTCGTCGCTGGGCAGGACGCTTCCCGCTGGAGAGCAGGGGCTCCCTTGTGGTGGCAGAGGTGAACAAATGTAAGACCGAGAGCCGCTTCGGTGCCACGGTGTTGTACTCCGGCGGCAAAAAACTCACCATCTCCGTCAACCTGGCTCCCAACTGCATTGTGGGCCGGTTCGAGATGTACGTCGTGACCGAGTCGAACGGACGGCTGAACAGGACCGAGAGGGACCCCGATACGGACATCTACGTGCTCTTCAACCCGTGGTGCAGAGGTGGGTCCTCCCCTCTTACCATTCCCAGGGCCTCCATCGATGACTTTCGGTAACCTCCGGGGGGGGGGGGGGGGGGGGTGTGGGTTTCCTTCACCTCCATCAACGTCTCTCCTTGCGGCATCTCCTCTTGCAAACTGAGACCGATTCCATCCCGAAGCTGTCTTGAGATTTTGTTTTGGTGGTGACACTGCTGGTGCTGTTGCTGCTGCTGCTGCTGCTACAGCGCCGGCCGTAGTTTGTTGTCACTCCCCCGCACATCCAATGAGCATGGTTGGCTACGTTCGGTGCGAAACATTTGCAGATCAGCGAGGGCATGAGGGTAGGGGGATTTCTTTTTTTTGGAGGGGGGAGACGTGATAATAATAATAATGCTGTAATAAAGTCATTTTATATAGCGTCATTCATGCTGATTGTATCACACGGCGCTGTACATTAATTACGTACAAGGGCCAAATCACGTTAAGCCATTGGTGACCGCTAGCTGAGACCATCAGCTCGCTACATCCGAGAGCTGATGGTGTGATGAGAGCGCGGGGGGTGGTTGGTTCGGGTAGGTCGGTGGGTTTGTTGGGTGGGTGAGTTGAGTGGGTTGGGTGGGTGGGTGAGTTGAGTGGTTGGGGTGAGTGGGTGGGGTGGGTTGGGTGCGTGGGGTGGGTTGGGCGGGGTTGGTTTGGGTCGTTCTGGTGAGTCGGTGGGTTGATTGGGTTGGTGAGTTGAGTGGGTTTGTTGGGTGGGTGAGTTGAGTGGGTTGGGTGGGTGGATGAGTTGAGTGGTTGGGGTGAGTGGGTGGGGTGGGTTGGGTGGGTGGGGTGGGTTGGGCGGGGTTGGTTTGGGTCGTTCTGGTGAGTCGGTGGGTTGATTGGGTTGGTGAGTTGAGTGGGTTTGTTGGGTGGGTGAATTGAGTGGGTTGGGTGGGTGGGTGAGTTGAGTGGTTGGGGTGAGTGGGTGGGGTGGGTTGGGTGGGTGGGGTGGGTTGGGCGGGGTTGGTTTGGGTCGTTCTGGTGAGTCGGTGGGTTGATTGGGTTGGTGAGTTGAGTGGGTTTGTTGGGTGGGTGAGTTGAGTGGGTTGGGTGGGTGGGTGAGTTGAGTGGTTGGGGTGAGTGGGTGGGGTGGGTTGGGTGGGTGGGGTGGGTTGGGCGGGGTTGGTTTGGGTCGTTCTGGTGAGTCGGTGGGTTGATTGGGTTGGTGAGTTGAGTGGGTTTGTTGGGTGGGTGAATTGAGTGGGTTGGGTGGGTGGGTGAGTTGAGTGGTTGGGGTGAGTGGGTGGGGTGGGTTGGGTGGGTGGGGTGGGTTGGGCGGGGTTGGTTTGGGTCGTTCTGGTGAGTCGGTGGGTTGATTGGGTTGGTGAGTTGAGTGGGTTTGTTGGGTGGGTGAGTTGAGTGGGTTGGGTGGGTGGGTGAGTTGAGTGGTTGGGGTGAGTGGGTGGGGTGGGTTGGGTGGGTGGGGTGGGTTGGGCGGGGTTGGTTTGGGTCGTTCTGGTGAGTCGGTGGGTTGATTGGGTTGGTGAGTTGAGTGGGTTTGTTGGGTGGGTGAGTTGAGTGGTTGGGGTGGGTTGGTGGGGTGGGTTGGGTGGGTGGGTTGAGTGGTTGGGGTGGGTTGGTGGGGTGGGTTGGGTGGGTGGGGTGGGTGGGTTGGTTGGGTAGGCGGGTTGGGGTGGGGGGGAGGGGTTGGGTTGGGTGGTTCGGGGGGGGGGGTCGGTGGGTTTGTTGGGTGGGTGAGTTGAGTGGTTGGGTTGGTTGGGTGGGTGGGTTGGTTGGGTAGGTGGGTTGGGGCGGGGGGGAGGGGTTGGGTTGGGTGGTTTGGGGGGGGGTCGGTGGGTTGATTGGGTGGGTGAGTTGAGTGGTTGTGGTGGGTGGGTGAGTGAGTGGTTGGGGTGCGTGGGGTGGGTTGGGTGGGTGGGGTGGGTGGGTTGAGGTGGGTGGGTCGGGTGGGTGGTTGGGTAGGTGGGTTGGGCGGGGGGAGGGGTTGGGTCGTTCTGGTGGGTTGGTGGTTGATTGGGTGGGTGAGTTGAGTGGTTGGGGTGGGTGGGTGAGTTGAGTGGTTGGGGTGGGTGGGTGGGGGTGGGTTGAGTGGGTGGGGTGGGTGGGTTGGTTGGGTAGGTGGGTTGGGGCAGGGGGGATGGGTTGAGTTGGGTAGTTCGGGGGGGGGTCGGTGGGTTGATTGGGTTTGGTGGGTGGGTGAGTTGAGTGTTTGTGGTGGGTGGGTGGGGTGGGTTGAGTGGGTGGGGTGGGTGGGTTGGTTGGGTTTGGTGGGTGGGTGAGTTGAGTGTTTGTGGTGGGCGGGGTGGCTTGGTGGAGGGGGCGATGCGGAGTCGCCCGTCTCTCCGCGGGTTTCACTGACCGCGAGCCCGTGCTGCCCGTCGTGCCGCAGAGGACCAGGTGTTCATGCGCGACGAGTCGTGGAGGCGGGAGTACGTGCTCAACGACACGGGCTGCCTCTACCTGGGCACGAGCGAGCAGATCGTGACGCACCACTGGAACTTCGGGCAGGTGTGTGTGTGTGTGCGTGCGACCGTAGGTGAGACGAGGGGTTGGTGGGAACACACTCACGACCGCCGTAGTCAACCACCACCGTCACGGCCACCGTTACCGCTACCGCTGGCACAATGAACACGGTTATCACCGCCAAAGACAAAGATCCCCCACGTAGCCTTGACAGAGTGTTGGGGCAAGTGCTGTTCGCGAGCACCGGCCTTCAAGGCCGGCACTGTGTCACACGAGGGGTTGGGTGGCCATTACGCACGTACGGCCGCTTTAGTCTCCCAAGTGGCGATGTTGACACGTGGTGCCAGGTACTCATTTGAGGCTGAGTTGACCTTGGGGAGGCCCAGGACTGGTTTAAGATCATCGTCACTGGTGTTGACCTTGAGCGGGTTATCAAACTCGGGTCGACGGGTTCTTAGCCAGCGCGCTAATCGCTCCAATACCGCTACCCATAACCACCAGATATTCTTAGGTTTTTTCGGTAAAGTCACGTAGGTAAAACATTAAAATTAATAAAAGTCAAATAAAAATAAAATAAAAATCACGACGTTTCGGAGGCAACACAAGCGTCCGTCTTCAGGTGGAACCGTCACAGCACGATAGCTGTATATTGATACAGCTATCGTTATTTTATTATTATTTTTAATTTTACTTTGATTAATTTTAATTTTTTACCTACGTGACTTTACCGAAAAAACCTAAGAATATGAATCCTTGCAGTCACGAAAGCTTCAAATCCATAACCACCACCGTCACCATCACCACCGCCGTCGTCAGTGTCGGGATCGACCCTCCTGCGTACCAGCCGAGGTGATGAACATCGATCATACGATGGCCGCGTGCGTTTGTCGTTGCAGTTCGAGCGCGGAATCCTGGACGTCTGCCTCTCCCTCCTTGACAAGGGGGACCTGGGCATGAGTTCCCGCGGGAGCCCCATCGCCGTGTCTCGCACCGCCTCTGCCATTGTGAGTTCGAACCACCTGTCACTGAAAAGCATCACCCCCGTCATTCAAATTAATCCCACTGTGATTTTTGCACACAGCGTCGGTGTACGGTGCTTTTTTCTGTTTGCACATAGTCACAGACTCACTTTAAGATGCTTTCTTGTTCATGTTTTAGTTTTTTTGTTTGTTTGCGGTTGCACCCGATTCAAGAGCCGGATGGCTCACAGGGCTACACCTAATACATCAACTTGAACTACTCAAAAGAACCACCCGTCACTCAAAATCATCTCCCCGTCACTCAAAAGAACCACCCGTCACCATTACAGCCAACTGGAAAGTGCATTGCTCCCCCAGGAATGGGCCGGTAAATTGTCAAATAAAATCTCCGCTCGACAGCATCGAGGTGGCAGGGAGGAAGCTCAGCGCCACCAACCATGGAGGCCCCTCCAGGGCACCTTGATTCACGAGGGCATTTAGCCCCCCCCCCTCACCCCCCTCTCCCCCCCTCTTTCTCCCCCTCTCTCCCCATCTTCCCGCGCCCTCCCCCTCTCTTCCTCCCCTCTCTCCCCCCCCTTCCCCCCTCCTCTTCCCCCCTCTTCCCCCCCTGTTCCTCCCCCCTCTTCCACCCACATGACCGCGGGGAGAGAGAGAGACGCAGACTCCAAATATACAGCAGGCGTCGTCAGGGTCAGGATCGAACACACGACCTCCTGTATACCAGGCGAGGTCGTTAACATCTCCTCGCCACCCTGGCGCCCTGTCCGGCTACCCCCCGTCCCCTCTCCCCTGGAACAGGTGAACGCCAACGACGATCGCGGCGTGCTGAAGGGCCGCTGGTCGGGACGCTACAATAACGGCGTTCCGCCCACCGCGTGGAACGGCAGCGTCGACATCCTCCTGCGCTACGGCCGCACGGGACGTCCCGTCCGCTACGGCCAGTGCTGGGTGTTCTCCGGCGTGATCGTCACCGGTGAGGCAGCGCCGGGCAACGCCCGATCGCCCGCTCGCCAACTCGCTCGTTCACCAGCTCGTCTGCTCACCATCTCGCTCGCTCACCATCTCGCCCGCTCGCAAAGGCCACCCGGAAATTGCTGCTGGCATGATGGCAGCCGTGGCAGATTAGGAGCATCTCTTTTTTTACGCCTTTGATGAGGCACTGAATGTGGAAACCGGCCCAGGCTTTGTGCCAATGCTGCTGAAATTTGGTGCACACCCAGAAAGGATGGCCGTTTGGCCGATGGGATGTGTCAAATCGCAATTTTCTATTTACGTGGAGGGATGGTGTATGGGAGGGACGTGGGATTTGGTCTGGCACTGTGTGGTAAGGTGTGGTGGTCTGGTGTTGCGTGGTGTGGCGTTGTGTGGTATGGTGGGGCCTAGTGTGGCGTGGTTGTGGTCTGGGGTGATGTGGCGTGGTGTGGTGTGGTAGGAACTGGTGTGGCGTCGTGTGGCGTGGTTGTGGTGTGGTCTGGTGTGGTCTGGTGTGGCGTGGTGGGATCTGGTGTGGCGTGGTGTGGCTTGGTGTGGCGTGGTGTGGTCTGGTGTGGCGTGGTGTGGCATGGTGTGGCATGGCGTGGTGTGGCGTGGTGTGGTCTGGTGTGGCGTGGTGTGGCATGGTGTGGTGTGGCGTGCTATGGTGTGGTGTGGCGTGGTGTGGCATGGCGTGGCGTGCTGTGGTCTCGCCTGGTGTGGCGTGCTGTGGCATGGTGTGGCATGGCGTGGTGTGGCGTGGTGTGGCGTGGTGTGGCATGGCGTGGCGTGCTGTGGTATGGTCTGGTGTGGCGTGCTGTGGCATGGTGTGGCATGGTGTGGCATGGCGTGGTGTGGCGTGGTGTGGTCTGGTGTGGCGTGGTGTGGCATGGTGTGGTGTGGCGTGCTATGGTGTGGTGTGGCGTGGTGTGGCATGGCGTGGCGTGCTGTGGTCTCGCCTGGCGTGGCGTGCTGTGGCATGGTGTGGCATGGCGTGGCGTGCTGTGGTCTCGCCTGGCGTGGCGTGCTGTGGTCTCGCCTGGCCTGGCGTGGCATGGCGTGGTGTGGCATGGTGTGGTGTGGCGTGCTATGGCGTGGTGTGGCGTGCTGTGGTCTCGCCTGGCGTGGCGTGCTGTGGTCTCGCCTGGCCTGGCGTGGCATGGCGTGGTGTGGCATGGCGTGGCGTGCTGTGGTCTCGCCTGGCGTGGCGTGCTGTGGTCTCGCCTGGCGTGGCGTGCTGTGGTCTCGCCTGGCGTGGCGTGCTGTGGTCTCGCCTGGCGTGGCGTGCTGTGGTCTCGCCTGGCGTGGCGTGCTGTGGTCTCGCCTGGCGTGGCGTGCTGTGGTCTCGCCTGGCATGGCGTGCTGTGGTCTCGCCTGGCGTGGCGTGCTGTGGTCTCGCCTGGCGTGGCGTGCTGTGGTCTCGCCTGGCGTGGCGTGCTGTGGTCTCGCCTGGCGTGGCGTGCTGTGGTCTCGCCTGGCGTGGCGTGCTGTGGTCTCGCCTGGCGTGGCGTGCTGTGGTCTCGCCTGGCGTGGCGTGGCATATAAATATTGAACTTCTTTCGCAGCGTACGTAGCCAACCCGTGCTAATCATAAGGTCGTGGCGTGGTGCGCTGTTGCAGTTCTCCGCTGTCTGGGCATCCCGTGTCGCAGCATCTCCAACTTCTCGTCGATGCACGACCAGAATGCGAATCTGACCATGGACACTTACTTGGACCAGGACATGTGGCCCATCGACTCGCTGAACCACGACTCCATCTGGTGAGTCGAGCCACAGAGAGCTCGGGGTAAGCATTTACACTGAGACATCTGCCAGATAGAAGGTTATAAAAAAAACAATTATCATATTTTTTTTCCTGGCAAATGAGGGTCCAATGGTGAAAAAAAAAATTTAACTAAAAAAAACTCTCGCGCCCGCATCTCAGGAACTTCCACGTGTGGAACGAGGCGTGGATGGCGAGGCCCGATCTGCCGGGCAACAACAACGGCTGGCAGGTCGTGGACGCGACGCCGCAGGAGCAGAGCGACGGTACACGCACTCCCCCCCCCCCCACCCTTCGTTCGTTCTTCGTTCGTTCTTCGTTCATTCATTCATTCGGACGCTTGCGTTCGCAACGCTCGTTTTGGGTGTTAGCTCGCTCGCTGGTTTGCGTGTTCATTCGTTTAATTGCTCGGTCGTTCGCTCATCAGTTAGTCCGTCGAATTCATTCCTACTCATTCAGTTAGTCGTTAAGTCATTCATTTAATTCATCATTCATTCGCTCATCAATGAGTCGTCTATTCATTTCTACTCATTCAGTTAGTCGTTAAGTCATTCATTTTATTCATTCATTCGCTCATCAATTAGTCGTCTAATTCATTCCTACTCATTCAGTTAGTCGTTAGGTCATTCATTTAATTATTAATTTGTTCGCTCATAAGTTAGTGAATTCGTCTATTCATTCTTACTCATTCAGTTAGTCGTTAAGTCATTCATTTTATTATTTATTCATTCGCTCATCAGTTAGTCCTCTATTCATTCTTACTCATTCAGTTAGTCGTTAAGTCATTCATTTTATTATTTATTCATTCGCTCATCAGTTAGTCCTCTATTCATTCTTACTCATTCAGTTAGTCGTTGAGTCATTCATTTAATTATTAATTCGTTCGCTCATCAGTTCATGTATTCGTCTATTCATTCTTACTCATTCAGTTAGTCGTTGAGTCATTCATTTAATTATTAATTCGTTCGCTCATCAGTTAATTTATTCGTCTATTCATTCTTACTCATTCAGTTAGTCGTTAAGTCAATGAATTTTATTCATTAATTCGTTCGCTTATCAGGCGTCTATTCATTCTTAGTTAGTCATTCATTCTGCGCTACGAACCCGGCGACCTGAGTTCGATTCCCGCTCACGGCCAACTCCAGTGACGATTATCTGAACCGGTCCCGGGCCTTCCCTAGGTCGACTCGGCCTGAAATGTTGCGATGTGTAAACATTGCCACTAGGGAGACAAAGGCGGCCGGGCGTGGAGCTGGCCACCCACCCCCTGGTGTGCCACCGTGCCGGCCTTTATAGGTGCTTGCTAACAGCACTTGCCCCAACAGTCTGTTAAGGCTACACGGGGGGTCTTTGTCTTTGTGTGCCTCCGTGCAGGCCTCATGCAGTGCGGGCCCGCACCGCAGGTGGCGGTCAAGAACGGCCACGTGCACATCAAGCACGACACCCCCTTCGTCTTCGCAGAGGTGTGTGTCTGTGTGTGTGTCTGTGTGTGTGTCTGTGTGTGTGTCTGTGTGTTTGTGTGTGTGTCTGTGTGTTTGTGTGTGTGTCTGTGTGTCTGTGTGTGTATGTGTGTCTGTGTGTGTGTTTGTGTGTGTGTCTGTGTGTGTGTGTCTGTGTGTGTGTCTGTGTGTGTGTGTGTCTGTGTGTGTGTGTCTGTGTGTATGTTCTGTTTGTGTCTGTGTGTGTGTCTGTGTGTGTGTCTGTGTGTGTATGTGTGTTTGTGTGTGTCTGTGTGTGTGTCTGTGTGTGTGTGTGTGTCAGTGTGTGTGTGTCTGTGTGTGTGTCTGTGTGTGTGTCAGTGTGTCTGTGTGTGTGTCTGTGTGTATGTTCTGTTTGTGTCTGTGTGTGTGTCTGTGTGTGTGTCTGTGTGTGTATGTGTTTGTGTGTGTCTGTATGTGTGTATGTTCTGTTTGTGTCTGTGTCTGTGTGTATGTTCTCTTTGTGTGTGTCTGTGTGTGTGTCTGTGTGTGTGTGTCTGTGTGTGTGTCTGTGTGTGTCTGTGTGTGTGTCTGTGTGTGTGTCTGTGTGTATCTGTGTGTGTGTCTGCGTGTATGCCTGTGTGTCTGTGTGCGTATGTGTGCGTATGTGTGCGTGTATGTTCTGTTTGTGTCTGTGTGTGTCTGTGTGTTTGTGTGTGTGCCTGTGTGTTTGTTTGTGTGTCTGTGTGTGTCTGTGTGTATGTGTCTGTGTGTGTGTCTGTGTCTCTGTCTGTGTGGTGCTGGCCACCACCTCCCCCCCCCTCGTGTGCCACAGTGCCGACCTTCATAGGTGCTCGCTAACAGCACTTGCCCCAACAGTCTGTTGAGGCTATACACGGGGGGGCGGAATTTTTGTCTTCATACGTCTGTGCGTGATAACATTAAATTACCTTCAAACAAAAAAAAAGTTCAGTTTTTTTTTGTTTACGTTCATTCAAACGACGCATTTATACTTACGCGATCGAACCCACAACAACAACGACCAACCTTGACGCGGGCTAAACTCCCGTCGCTCCGCGCGCGGGCCAGGTCAACGGCGACCGCGTGTACTGGGTCTGGGGCAAGGACTGGAGGTTCCACAAGGTGTACACCGACACGTCTGTCATCGGCAAGGACATCAGCACCAAGGCGGTGGGCAGCATGCGGCGAGAGGACATCACCCTGCAGTACAAGTTCCCCGAGGGTACGTGGCCAACGCGAGTTCGGAAAAAAAAAACGATTATTTTTTGACCACGCTGCAGAGATTCATCTTATTGGTTCTTTCGGTAAAGTCACGTAGGAGGGAAGTAATAAAATAATAAAAATAAAACATAATAAAATAATTCTCACAACTACGTAGAAGGGAAGTAATGAAATAATAAAAATAAAACATAATAAAATTATATAGTGATTGTGAGAATTATTTTATTATGTTTTATTTTTATTATTTTATTACTTCCCTTCTACGTGACTTTACCGAAAGAACCAAGAAGATGAATCCCTGCAGTCACGAAAGCTTTAAATCGAAACTGGGACACTTATGATTATTTTTATTATATTATAACCACCGAACGATGTCCTGTAGCTGCCACCACTGCCTCTTGGGCTGTTGGTTCGTCCGTGGTGAAGAGAGTCGCTTGGCTCCATCAGCCGAGATGATGACACTGATGCACGGCCGAAAGTTCGTTCGTTTTGGTGTTTGTTTATTCCTCGAGGCAAGGGTCTCCTACAAAGCCGTAGTGCGGCTCTTGTTCAGAAGCGACATGGTAGCTGAACGGAGGTGGCTTATTGCCGTCGCCGCGTGGAAATTTAAAGGAGCGGCCAAACACAATCTGAACACCGGTGAAGTCGATTCGAAACGTGAAAGGGGGAAAACGAAAACCCGGAGGTCCCAGATGATAAAAACAACTCCACGTGACCACGGAGAGAGAGAGAGAGACACGGAGACTCCAAATATACAGCAGGCGTCGTCAGGGTCGGGATCTAACTCACGACCTCCTGTATACCAGGCGAGGTAGTTAACATCTCCTAGCCACTGTGATGATGATGATAAGAGAGAGACACGGAGACTCCAAATATACAGCAGCAGGCGTCAGGGTCCGGATCGAACCCACGACCTCCTGTATACCAGGCGAGGTAGTTAACATCTCCTAGCCACTGTGATGATGATAAGAGAGAGACACGGAGACTCCAAATATACAGCAGGCGTCGTCAGGGTCCGGATAGAACCCACGACCTCCTGTATATCAGGCGAGGTAGTTAACATCTCCTAGCCACCGTGATGATGATGATGAGAGAGACACGCAAACTCCAAATATACAGCAGTAGGCGTCGTCTGGGTTCGAGATCGAACCAACAACCTCCTGTATACCAGGCGAGGTGGTTAACATCTCCTAGCCACCGTGATGATGATGATGATGAGATAGAGAGACACACAAACTTCAAATATACAGCAGCAGACGTCGTCAGGGTCGGGATCGAACCCACGACTTCCTGCATACCAAGCGAGGTAGTTAACATCTCATAGCCACCGTGATGATGATGACAGAGACACGCAAATCTTCTTGGTTCTTTCGGTAAAGTCACGTAGAAGGGAAGTAATAAAATAATAAAAATAAAACATAATAAAATAATTCTCACGACGTTTCGGCCACAACGCAAGCAGCCGAAACGTCGTGAGAATTATTTTATTATGTTTTATTTTGATTATTTTATTACTTCCCTTCTACGTGACTTTACCGAAAGAACCAAGAAGATGAATCCCTGCAGTCACGAAAGCTTTAAATCGAAAAGAGACACGCAAACTCCAAATATACAGCAGCAGCAGGCAGGCGTCAGGGTTCGCGAACTTCCTGTGTGTAGTTGTCCCTCGGGTCAGCGGGTTCATCCTTTCCTCCCCCCCCCCCCCCCCCCCCAAGGATCAAAAGAGGAACGCGAAACGATGGCCCGTGCCATGGCGGGAGGTATAGACTTCGTTACCTACTCCCCGTCGACACCTGCGGACGACGCGCTGCGCGGGCCGGCCGTGACGTCCCGGGCGTCTGCCCCGGCCGACGACGATGTCGTCGCAGAGAGACGTGGACGCGACCGCCAGGTCGTGACCCTCTCGTTCGCCATCGGCGACGCGGCGGTGGGCGGCGACTTTACGGTGAAGGTCCTCGTCGCGAACGACGAAGGGGTCGCCGCCGCCGCCGTCGCCACCGTGACGGTTCACGTGCAGGGGGACTTCGCCTCCTACACGGGAGCCACGCGGCAGCGATTCAAGAGGGACACGGCTACTGCCGTGCTCAAGGCCGGCGAGGGTGAGTGGGGAGGGGGGGGTGACTAGGGGGGGGGAGGTGTGATGGTGAACGGGGGGGTGACGATGATGAATGGAGGGGGGTGACGAGGGGGGGGGGTGATGAGGGTGAGTGGGGGGGATGACAGGGTGAACGAGTGGTGGGGGTGGGTGACGATGGTGAGTGGGGGGGGTGACGATGATTAATGGAGGGGGGGGTGACGAGGGTGAGTGGGGGGGGGGACTTAGGGGGGGGGGGGTGAATGGAAGGGCGATGATGGTGAACGGGAGGTGACAAAGGGTGGAACGGGGGGGTAATGATGGTGAGCGGGGGGGTGACGATGATGAACGAGGGGGGGGGGGTGACGGAGGATGAACGAGGTTGGGGGGGTTGATGTTTCCCTCTCACGACCCACCACCACCACCTCCAGTGACGATTATCCGAACCGGTCCCTGGGCCTTCCCCTCGGTCGACTCAGCCTCACTGAGTGCCCGGTGCGCTGTGCGGTAAACACCCCTGGGAACAAAGGCGGGCCGGGCATGATGCTGCCCTCCCCCCACCCCACCCTTTCCCCTTCATAGGTGCCACTCGCGTAACGGCACTTGCCCCCAGAACACTTAAAGGCTATACCAGCGGTGGGGGGGGGCTGAATCTTTGTGTGTGCGCGCGTTGTGCACAGCCTGTGAGTTGGAGTTCCCGGTGCTGGTGAGCGACTACCTGCTCCACCTCAGCGAGCACGGCACCATGAACTTCACG